TAAGGGACAGTCATTTTGAAGAAAACCCTGTAAACCTAACTCCCCTTGAAATCACTACTATTACAGTGAGGGGTGGGGAGCTTGGGGAGGGATAACATGGGGAGCAATGCCAGATATAGGTGATGAAGAGGAAGGCAGCAAACCACATTGCCATATGTGTACCTATGCAACAATCTTTCATGTTCTTCACATGTACCCCCAAACCGAAAATGCAATAAAATAAAAATAAAAATAAATTCAAAAACTTCTTTAGGACCAGTTTTAGAGCCTTCTGATTAGTCTTACTGTTTTCCATTTGATTCTCTTATTTTTCCCTTAAGACATAGATTTTTAAGGCCCTTAAAATAATTTCAATAATTATTAGAAAACTGAAATTTTTATTAAGAGAATGTTAGCTTGTTTCTCCAAGTAAAAATGCTTGGAGTATCTAATATTGTTTAGATAGACTATGTCTGTGTCTAATGATTCTCAGAAGGATATTCATTTTGTTTATCAATTTACTTACATTAAAATCTCCATCTTATACAGTATTCATGAGATACAAGGTATTGGTGATCTTAGATGTTCGAGGATCTTTTCTTTGGCACAGTGGTATCTCTTTGTCATCTAAATTATTACTATAAAATATACAGTATGACAGATTCTATATGTAATATATATGTATAATGTGTACGTATATAGCAGTGTTTGCTAAAGTGCTATTGCTAAAATATATTGAGTTGAGAGGAAAAAATAAAAGAGAGGACACTGAGTGCAACTTTTCCTTTTCTTTTTTGAGACAAAGTCTCACTCTGTTGCCCAGGCTGGAATGCAGTGGTGTGATCTCGGCCCACTGCAACCTCTGCCTCCTGGGTTTAAGCGATTCTCCTGCCCCAGCCTCCTCCTGAGTAGCTGGGATTACAGGTGGCCACCACCATGCCTAGCTAATTTTTGTATTTTTAGTAGAGATGGGGTTTCTCCATGTTGGCCATGCTGGTCCTGATCTCTTGACCTCAAGTGATCTGCCTGCCTGGGCCTCCCAAAGTGCTGGGATTACAGGTGGGAGCCACTATGCCTGGCCAACTTCTTCGGGTTTTTTTTTAGCAGCATTCAGCTCTCTCCATGCAATCTTTCTCCCTATCTTTGTTCATTTCTTTTGCCTGAACTTCATTTATTCAGCCTATTTGCATGTAGCAGTATTAGAATAGGCCTTAAACTATTCCCACAAAATGTATTGCAAAGAATTATGAATTGCTATGACACTCAGTTACCTAATACAAAATGCTGCTTTCAAAAGATTTCAAATACATAGAATATACTTAGACATTATTAGGTTTTATGCAAGTTTTCCAATTTGAAGCTGTTCTAAAATTAAGAGCATAATGTTTTTTCTGGCAAGTTGAAAATAGGATAACCAGTGCATGATAATGGTTCATATAAGCAACAACAACAACAACAACAACAAAAAACAAAAATAAGAAAAATTAAGAAGTTTTGGCAGGCGTAGAAAACTGTTTTGAGTGGAGATTTAAGAATAGATGGAGAGTTAACATGCAGAGAGACAGCAGGAAGCCATCCAGATGGCAGAGCCAAAGCAAAGAAGATCCTTTTGTCTGGCCTAGACCTTAGTCAGGTCTAGAAGGTACAAGCTACATTTAATAGAGAAAGAAAGCCAAAAGGAAGAGGAAAGCAAGAGAGGTTTCTGTGGCAGGTTGGAATGAACCCACAGATTATAAAACAGAAACAGGCCAGGTATGGTGGCTCATGGCTGCAATCCCAGCGCTTTAGGAGGCCTAAGCAGCAGTTTAAGACCAGCCTGGGCAACATAGTTAGACCCCATCTCTGCAGGATAGTTTGTTTCTTTATTTTTTGAGACAGAATCTCATTCTGTGCCCAGGCTGGGTGTAGTGGCATGATCTCTGCTCACTGCAACCTCCGCCTCCCGGGTTCAAGTGATTCTCCCACCTGAGCCTCCCAAGTAGCTGAGGTTACAGGCAGGCACCACAATGCCCAGCTAATTTTTGTATTTTAAGTAGATATAGGGTTTCACCATGTTGGCCAGGCTGGTCTTAAACTCCTGACCTCAACTGAGCTGCCTGCCTTGGCCTCCCAAAGTGCTAGGATTACAGGCATGAGCCATGGTGGATGTAGTGGTGCCCGCCTGCCCAGCTACATAGGAAGCTGAGGCAAGAGGATTGCTTGAGTCCAGGAGTTCGAGGCTGCAGTAAGCTACGATCATGCTACTGCACTCCAGCCTGGATGACAGAGTGACACCCTGTCTCTAAAATAAATAAAATAACGACAAAACCAAAAGCATTATGGATGAGACCCTGAAAGCTAGGTTTTGTGAATGTTCTCTGCCAAATTATTGACCACTTTGGTTGATGCTAAGTGGCATAATCTTTGCTTTTTTCGGTCTTACCCTCCCTTTCTGAATTCGCTCCACCCTATCATACCTTGGTTTTTGCACAGATGTTTAGGAAGCACTGCAGAGTTTTAAGGTTACTTTTCTAAGTGTAACAAAATTCAAGATGCTTGTTTTGGTTGATAATAGCATTAGGTAAGAGAAGTTCCATTTTGCTTTGTTCCCAGAGCCCTCCAGTTTCCAGTTTTGCTCTGGACCTGACTGCCTTCCTGACCTGCAGTGCCACTGTGGTCCTGGAAGCAGGCCTTTCTCTGACAAGCTTTTTTCCCTCCCAGGGGCCCTCTGCATTTCCCAGAGCCTACATTTTCTTCTTGCTGAGTGGGAAGTTTTGTTCATACCCTGAATATATGAAAGGGCAATTTTCTGTTTTCACACTTGAGGAATAGATTGGATGGATAAGTAGGAAATCATTTTTCCTCAATGGAAACAACTTTTTTTTTTTTTTTGTAAAGATGGGGTCTTGCTTTGTTGCCCAGGCTAGTCTCAAACTCCTGAGCTCAAGCTATCCTAATGCTTCGGCCTCCCAAACATCATTTATTGAAGAGACAATTTCTTTCTCCCACTATGCTTTATATAGTTTTAGTAGCTTCTCTTATTTTTCCTCAGTATATTATTACATTTTCTTCACTTTCATTTTTATTGATTGAATGAGTGAGAGAGGGTCTTGCTCTGTTGCCCAGGCTGGAGTGCAGTGGTATGATCTCAATTCACTGCAATCTCCACCTCCTGGGCTCAAGCAATCCTTCCACCTCAGCCTCCCAAGTAGCTGGGACTACAGGAGTGTGCCACCATGCCTGGCTGATTTTTGTAGTTTTTGTAGAGTTGGGGTTTTGCTATGTTGGCCAGACTGGTCTCAAACTCCTGAGCTCAAACAATCTGCCCACCTTAGCCTCCCAAAGTGCCGGGATTACAGGTATGAGCCACCATGCCTGGCCCACTTTTATGTTTGAGGGTTTTTGTTTGTTTGTTTGTTTGTTTTGCTGTCTGGATAGTCCTCTGTTTCCTTTGAGTTCATTCCCCTCTGTATATTTGTTCTGGTCTCTGACTTTTATCTTGGAATTTTTTTCCAAATATCTATTGACCATTGGCACTAACAAGCTGACCGAAGCTCCAGCTTGAGAGCTCCAGCTTGGTGACTGGTGTGCTTTACCAGAAGGTAATCAGGTAGGGATCTAGGTCTTTCTTTAGGAGAAGCTCAACCAATGTAAGTGCGTTGGGGCCTTTTTTATCTGGTGATCATTCAGTTTCTCCAGAAAAACTATTCTACTGTACTCTATTAATTGCTGAAATTGAGCTGAGCTGCCATTGTTTGGGGAGCCCATCTGGGAAAGAAGGGAAAGACTACATGGTTAGTAAATGGTAGAGGGGATGTACATTCAAGTTGTGTGATTGTGAACCCCTCGTTTTGGGTTACTGTGGTTATTGCTTCCTGTTTTTAATCCTAAGAGGGGCTTCACAGCATTTTTTTTTTCTAATTTTCTTTTGTGGTAAATACACACATAAGATTTACCATCTTAATCTTTTCTTAAGAGTACAGTTCAGTGCTATTAAATACATTCATAATGTAATGTAAGAATCACTGCGATTTATCTCCAGAACTCTTTTAATCTTGTAAAACTGAAACTCTGAACCCATTAAACAATAATTCCCCATTCCTTCCTCCCTCCAGCCCTTGGCAACCCCTTTTAGTAGCTGTGTGTGTGTGTGTGTGTGTGTGTGTGTGTGTGTGAAAAATTGAGGCCGGACGCAGTGGCTCACGCCTGTAATCCCAACACTTTGGGAGGCCGAGGTGGGCAGATCACTTGAGGTCTGGAGTTTGAGACCAGCCTGGTCAACATGGTGAAACCCCGTCTCTACTAAAAATACAAAATTAGCTGCCTATAATCCCAGCTACTCAGGAGGCTGAGACAAGAGAATTGCTTGAACCTGGGAGGTGAGCTGAGATCATGCCACTGCACTCCAGCCCGGGCAACAAGAGCTAAACTCTGCCTCAAAAAGAAAAATTGAGACAGGATCTTGCTCTGTTGCTCGGGCTGGAGTGCAGTGGTGTGTACATGGCCCACAGCAGGCTTGACCTCCTGGGTTCAAGCAATCCTCCAACTTCAGCCCCCTGAGTAACTGGGACCACAGGTGTCACCACGCCTGGCTAATTCTTTTTAACTATTTGTAGAGATGAGGTCTCCCCATATTGCCCAGGCTGGTCTTGAACTCTTGGGCTCAAGTGATTCCTCCTACCTCAGCTTCTCAAAGTGCTCAGATTATAGGTATGAGCCACAGCACCTGATTTCTACTTTCTGTCTCTTTAATTGTCTTTTCCAAGTACCTCGTGTAAGTGGATCAGAGTATTTGTCTTTTTGTGAATGGTTTATGTCACCCAGCATAATATTCTCAAAGTTCATTCATGTATATGTTAGAGTTTTTTCCCTTTTTAAGGCTGCATAATATTTCAGCTTTACAGACTTTTACATCAAGTTTTTTCTTATTGTAGATAATAGCCCCTCTTGGTCCTGTATATAGGACAGTTAGGAAACCTGTGTAAATGATTAGAATTAATTATTTGCATGGTAGAGATTTATAATTTGTTCTTGATTTGCAGCTTTTTTCAAGGAGCAAACCTCCAAAGGGCCTGTATGTTTATGGAGATGTTGGTAAGTGTATTAAAATAAGTTTTTGGTGGGCAAAACAGAAAATTTTCCCAGCTTTTGCTCAGGGATAATTTCTATTTCTATCCCTCAATCTATACCAGCAAGGGAATAGAATGAGGCAGGGTAATGTAGGGAGAGAAGAAAGGGGAGAGAGGGCAGTTATCTCAGCTTTTACTTTACTTCTTGTAGGGTACGGCTGTAGTCTAGGAAGAATTAGTCACCATGTTAGGGTGCAAACATTATTTAATGTATTAAGTAATTAATCTCAGGGAAGGAAATCATCTATAAATAGGTTATTAGGTTATTAGACAAATCAGGATTCCATTACTCATTAACTCAGCTTAATGCTTTTTAAAAAAACTGTTCTTTTTTTTGCATTTTTAAAAAAATCGTAGTTTAAGTTCTGGGATATATTTGTAGAATGTGCAGGTTTGTTGCATAGGTATACACATGCCATGGTAGTTTGCTGCACCCATCAACCTGCTATCCACATTAGGTATTTCTCCTGATGCTATTCCTACCCGGCCCCTGCATCTGCTGACAGGCTCCAGTGTGTGATGTTCCCCTTCCTGTGTCCATGTGTTTTCATTGTTCAACTCTCACTTATGAGTGAGAACATGCAGTGTTTGGTTTTCTGTTCTTTTGTTAGTTTGTTGAGAGTTATGGTTTCCAGCTTCATCCATTTCCCTGCAAATGACATGAACTCATCCTTTTTTTATGGCCGCGTAATATTCCATGGTGTATATGTCCCACATTTTTAAAATCTAGTCTGTCATTGATAGGCATTTGGCTTGATTCCAAGTCTTTGCTATTGTGAATAGTGCCGCAATAAACATACCTGTGCATGTGTCTTTGTAGTAGAATGATTTATAATCCTTTGGGTATATACCCAATAATGGGATTGCTGAGTCAAATGGTATTTCTGGTGCTAGATCCTTGAGGAATTGCCACACTGTCTTCCACAGTGGTTGAACTAATTTACATTTCCACCGACAATGTAAAAGCATTTCTATTTCTCCACAGCCTCACCATCATCTATTGTTTCCTGACTTTTTAATGATAACCACTGTAACTGAGATGATATCTCACTGTGGTTTTGATTTGCATTTCTCTAATGACCAGTGATGATGAGTTTTTTTCTTCTATGTTTGCTGGCTGCATAAATGTCTTCTTTTGAGAAGTGTGTGTTCATATCTTTGCCCACTTTTTGATGGAGTTGTTTGTTTTTATGTTTCTTGTGAATCTGTTTAAGATCTTTTGTGGATTCTGGATTTTAGCCCTTTGTCAGATGGACAGATTGCAAAAATTTTCTCCCATTCTGTAGGTTGCCTGTTCACTCTGATGACAATTTCTTTTGCTATGCAGAAGCTCTTTAGTTTAATTAGATCCCATTTGTCAATTTGGGCTTTTGTTGCCATTGCTTTTGCTGATTTCATCATAAAATCTTTGCCCATGCCTATGTTCTGAATGGTATTGCCTAGGTATTCTTCTAGGGTTTTTATTGTAAGCTATTCTTTTTTACTTTTAATTTCTACTAATATTTCTAGTCATAAACTAAGCCCTTAGATGAATAATTTAGTTGTTCTTATCTTTAATTTAGTTGATGGTAGATACTCTGAATGCATAAGTGGTAACATTTCCTTGGTCTCCCAATTCTAGACATTGGGTAGAAAGGCTTACGTTTTGATGGAAACCTTCTGAGTGGTCACTTCTTTCTAGGCTTTCCTAATCATGTAGTGCCTTGCTTATGAAGTCTTCCCTGACCTCATTCTTACTGAAATACTCTGTTTTGTGATTTTTATTTTCTTCAAACAAATTCTTTTCTCCTATTCTTAAACCTCTCCTTGGCTACCTTCAGTCACTGATATCATGAAGGGGTTTCTGCTTGGCTTTATTGCCTCCTTGCTTTCAGTTATTTCTTTGATGTCTTTTTAAATTTTTTAAAATTATTTATTTATTTATTTATTTTTTTGAGACGGAGTTTCGCTCTTGTTACCCAGGCTGGAGTGCAATGGCGTGATCTCGGCTCACCGCAACCTCTGCCTCCTGGGTTCAGGCAATTCTCCTGCCTCAGCCTCCTGAGTAGCTGGGATTACAGGCACGTGCCACCATGCCCAGCTAATTTTTTGTATTTTTGGTAGAGACAGGGTTTCACCATGTTGACCAGGATGGTCTTGACCTGTTGACCTCGTGATCCACCCGCCTCGGCCTCCCAAAGTGCTGGGATTACAGGCTTGAGCCACCGCGCCCGGCCCTTTTTAAATTTTTAAATTTTAATTTTTTCTAATCCCTCAGTTTACTGTCAATCAATTATTTCTTCTACTGGTATACTCAAAATGCACATTCACATGTAACAAGATCAGTTTTGGACCTAAAGTAATATTCAAACTCATCGCTTCTCTATAGCCACATTTGCGTTATGAGGGAGTGGTGGCAGCAAATATTATCTTAGTGAAATTTCTAGGAAAAGAAAAAAAAAAGGGCATTGAATAAGTAGTTTTAGTACCTTAAAGATAAAACTGTTCTTTTCCCCTCTATCTTTTTCTAATTTGTCTACTGATGCCTTGCATTGAATGTTCATTTTATATTTCCAGATTTAGCTAATCTAATAAAAGAGAATAATTTAGCTCACAAAAGTGAGCATTAGAGATTACCCATTAAAATTCTTCAAGTTCTTGAAAGTTACAGAAAAGCTCAAACTATTCTTTTTCTTAGTTCATTGGCTAATTGGTACTTTTGAGACCGTTGTATACTTACTTCTTATTTAGAAAGGAATTTATAACAGACACTTGATCGATTTTATGTTTCTGTACCTTTGTGTACCATTAATGATTCTCTGCCTCCTGAGAACATTTACTTCCAGTACCTTCACTTTCATATTCAGTCATCGCTAAAATCAACAACTTTGTTCCTCCTGTTACCTTAACCACCTGACCATAAATGGAGATGGTTAATAAAGCATAACTGCTTCCACTTCTGTAAAATTACCTTTTTTTTAAAAACCCTATGAATGTTGTTGGATTTTAGTTTAGAAAATATAGCCATATAGTAACTAATTGAAGGGAGGCACATTACAAGTTACTCATCTGAGTGCTTGATAGCAATAGAAAACATGTGATAATATGGGATGTTCATATAGTTTGGGTATGTGGCAACCTTTGGTTGGAAACATCTTTATAATATAGAGAGGGAAAGAGAAAGGAATTCTGAAATGGGAAGTGAGACGGATATTTTGGTGGCTACTATAAGTTTAGTTCAGACTACTTTTAAAACAGAATAGGCCAGGCATGATGGCTCACACCTGTAATCCCAGCACTTTGGAAGGCTGAGACGGGTGGATTGCTTGAGCCCAGGAGTGCAAGGCCAGCCTGGGAAACATGGCAAAACCCTGTTTCCACAAAAGATACAAAAATCAGCCTGGCGTGTTGGTATATGCCTGTAGTCCCAACTACTCGAGAGGCTGAGATGGGAGAATCACTTGAGCCTGGAAGGTCAAGGCTACAGTGAGCCATGATGATGCCACTGCACTCCAGTCCAGGCAATAGAGTCAGACCCCCATCTCAAAAATGAAACAAAATAGGTAATAAAATATCAAGTTTTCATTTTGGGGGGCTCTCTGTCTGGGAGAGCAGCCTCAAAATGCCACCATAAGCTCTTGTTCTTTATTCTTTTCCTTTTTTGGACTTGGAAAACGGTATTATATTTTGAGAAGGCTGGGCATGGTGGCTCATGCCTGTAATCTCATCACTTTGTGAGGCTGAGACAGGATGATTGCTTAAGGCCAGGAGTTTGAGACTAGCCTGGGCAACAAGGTGAGACCACATCTCTACAAAAAAATTTAAAAATTAGCTGAGTGTGGTGGTGTGTGCCTCTGGTTCCACCTACTTGGTAGGATGAGGTGGGAGATCACTTGAGCCTGGGAGATCAAGGTTTCAGTGAGTTGAGGTTGCACCCCTGCACTCTAGCCTGGACTAAAGAGTGAGGCCCTGTCTTAAAAAGAAACATAAATTGAGCTAGGTGTGGTGGCTCACACCTATAATCCCAGCAACTTTGGGAGGCTGAGGGGGGCGGATTACTTGAGGTCAGGAGTTTGAGACCAGCCTGGCCAATATGGTGAAACCCTGTCTTCACTAAAAATACAAAAATTAGCCTGGAATGGTGGCAGGTGCATGTAGTCCCAGCTACTCAGGAGGCTGAGGCAGAAGAATCGCTTGAACCTGGGAGGCAGAGGTTGCAGTGAGCTGAGGTCACATCGTTGCACTCCAGCCTGGGTGACAGAGCAAGACTGTCTCAAAAATAAATTAAAATAAATAAATAAAGAAGTAAACATAAACAAATAAACATGCTTGAGCCCAGGAGTTCAAGACCAGCTTGGGGAACATGGCGAGACCTCATCTTTTATTTTTTTAAAGAAAAATTTAAATAAATAAATTTTTAAGGAAACTTCATGGGATAGACAATAGCATATCTCGTAGCACTCCCTTTCTGCTCTTCATTCTTGCACTCTATTTGGGCTTTGTCCTGCTCACTTCACCTCTTTCTTCATAGATGTGTTGAGATGATTGACTCAGACCCTAAATCCTGAGAGCTGCACTAGGGTTGATGAATGAGTTGGAGGGATTATTATCATGGTTCAATCTTGAAATGAAATATTTTGTTATGAAATGTTTATCACATCCCATGTAGAAGCCAAAAGCTGCAGTCTTGGTATTTTGTGTCTTCATTCATACCCTACAGCTGGCTTTCTCACAGCAAAGTCTCAGCTTTTGACCAGCCAACTGCAGTGGTGATGGCAGGGTTAATGATTTCTCTGGTACATTAGGAAAGAATGAAAGTACGTTTTGCTTATCAGCCCCTTTTCTGCTGCCTCCTAGTTCCACCTCACCTGTTTCACATTGACACTGGGCTCTAATTTCACCAGTTGAAAGGTAGGCTGGTTTTAAGGTTAGGAGTTAGGAAGCTTGGATAGGTTCTGCCTGGCTTGGATGCAGGGATACATGTGC